AAAAAAAAACAAGAAAACGTTGACAAATTAAGGGAAAAAAAATTAAAGCAGACAAAAATACAAAACAAAACATTAAATTAATACAAAAAACAAAATATTTATCTTTTATGAAAACAAAAATAACAAACCCAAAAGAAAAAAATGTTAAATGAAAACAAAAAAACTAAACTAGACAGCATTGTTAAATCAAGTTAAAAAAATTGATTTAAATGAAAACAAACATTAAATGGGGACGGAGAGAGGCCCTGACTGAGCTGTTTTGTGCTGTTTTAATATTCTCAGGGATCCCCAACGTTCTGGATAACTGCCCCCAGGTTCCCAACCCCATGCAGACGGACCGGGACCGGGACGGGGTCGGGGACGCCTGCGATAGCTGCCCCGAGCTCAGCAACCCCATGCAGGTAAATATTAAAATATTAATGTCAAATATTAATGTACAGGTTCAGATATCCATCAGAACCCCATGCAGGTAAATATTAAAATATTAATGTCAAATATTAATGTACGGGTTCAGATATCCATCAGAACCCCATACAGGTAAATAAAATACAAATACTAATGTAAAATATTAATGCACGGGTTCAGATATCCATCAGAACCCCATGCAGGTAAATATTAAAATATTAATGTAAAATATTAATGTAAAATATTAATGTACGGGTTCAGATATCCATCAGAACCCCATGCAGGTAAATATTAAAATATTAATGTAAAATATTAATGTAAAATATTAATGTACGGGTTCAGATATCCATCAGAACCCCATGCAGGTAAATATTAAAATACTAACGTAAAATATTAATGTACAGGTTCAGATATCCATCAGAACCCCATGCAGGTAAATATTAAAATATTAATGTACGATATCCATCACAACCCCATGCAGGTAAATAAAATACAAATACTAATGTCAAATATTAATGCACGGGTTCAGATATCCATCAGAACCCCATGCAGGTAAATATTAAAATATTAATGTCAAATATTAATGCACGGGTTCAGATATCCATCAGAACCCCCTACAGGTAAATATTAAAATATTAATGTCAAATATTAATGTACGGGTTCAGATATCCATCAGAACCCCATGCAGGTAAATATTAAAATATTAATGTACGATATCCCATCAGAACCCCATGCAGGTAAATATTAAAATATTAATGTATGTTCAGATATCCCATCAGAACCCCAT